CCCTTGTCTTCAATCATCGCTCACACTGTCAGCTGTGTTGTGTGAATATGTGTCATCATGCCCCTTGTCTTCAATCATCACTCACACTGTCAGCTGTGTTGTGTGAATATGTGTCATCATGCCCCTTGTCTTCAATCATCGCTCACACTGTCAGCTGTGTTGTGTGACTGTGTCATCATGCCCCTTGTCTTCAATCATCGCTCACACTGTCAGCTGTGTTGTGTGAATATGTGTTATCATGCCCCTTGTCTTCAATCATCACTCACACTGTCAGCTGTGTTGTGTGAATATGTGTCATCATGCCCCTTGTCTTCAATCATCACTCACACTGTCAGCTGTGTTGTGTGAATATGTGTCATCATGCCCCTTGTCTTCAATCATCACTCACACTGTCAGCTGTGTTGTGTGAATATGTGTCATCATGCCCCTTGTCTTCAATCATCACTCACACTGTCTGCTGTGTTGTGTGAATATGTGTCATCATGCCCCTTGTCTTCAATCATCACTCACACTGTCAGCTGTGTTGTGTGAATATGTGTCATCATGCCCCTTGTCTTCAATCATCACTCACACTGTCAGCTGTGTTGTGTGAATATGTGTCATCATGCCCCTTGTCTTCAATCATCACTCACACTGTCAGCTGTGTTGTGTGAATATGTGTCATCATGCCCCTTGTCTTCAATCATTGCTCACACTGTCAGTTGTGTTGTGTGACTGTGTCATCATGCCCCTTGTCTTCAATCATCACTCACACTGTCAGCTGTGTTGTGTGACTGTGTCATCATGCCCCTTGTCTTCAATCATCACTCACACTGTCAGCTGTGTTGTGTGAATATGTGTCATCATGCCCCTTGTCTTCAATCATCACACACACTGAAAGCTGTGTTGTGTGTCATCATGAATGAATATCATAGTGACATTTTGTGCGCAACAACTAAATAAGTTCATTGATACATTTGCCAAAACAACTATAAGGTTAATACATGTACATCTAAAACATCTTTTGTCAATCAAATCAATTTTGAAACTGTAGGAACTGTTACATCACACTTACAAACTGCCAAACTGTTTAATGTTGTAAACATATGAGGATTGCCGAAACACACGCGTGAATCTTGCGGAAATACAGGCCCCACATGGCTGAAACCGTTAATATAGTCACAAGATGTGTAAGTGTATCACACAGGCCTGGTCAGCATAGAACAAACAGAACATGTGACATCTGTTGTTTTCAACTGCGTCTTTTGTAATTGTTGTTGCTAAAACTCACAAATGGTTGATGATACTGGCAAGGGTGGCCCAACAATCTAAGGCACTGCCATGACCTGTACAGAGTTGCATCCCCTTGGAATCTGTGATCATGGATTCGAACCCTGGTTTGCCCAGATTATGTTTCTAGGTTTGTCAGCACCATACCCGTACTCCTGGGTTTCACCAAAGTGGTAAATGTCAAAGACCTGCATCACTTTGTGTTTGCCTCCCACAAGGACTTCAATGGGGGTGAAACTGAACTCGTGCTTGAGTACCCGATAATAAGAATGTTTTGCGATGACATAATTATCTTTATGAATAAGAAAGCGTGTAGGCTTCTGTAGCTTCCATTTTCTAGCTAATAAAAGCAAATAGTATATAACTAAACTAAAATTAAATGGAAATAATCCCACCTGTGTTAAGTTTTCATTATTGTAACTTTCTGGGACATGTTGACCTATATACGTTGTACAAGGCAATAACACAAACGTACATTTAAATGACTTTCGTTTGACATTTGTATGAAATATTAAGTCTTATTTGCAGCAGTCTTACTGGAATGTGCCTGTTAACATTAGCTCGTATGTGATTGGCTAACAGACAGAACAATCATCTCTGAAATTACAGAAGAGAAAAAATACTGTCAATGCTATTCTATATGCACCAGCTCTCACTTGTAGCGTAGATTGTTTGACTAAATTAATGAGACGTCTTTCTTTCATTATATACATGTGCATTGAAATTACCAGTATGTGAATTTGAGTTACCTCCCCTGAGAGAGTAATTGAGTCGTCAATAATGCACTCAAGTTTTTCTGAAACCAACCCAGCCCCCGGTACTCAAGTACTGAAGGGAGCCCTATCTCCCACATCATCATGATGACGCTGATACTGTAATATAACTGTTGGCGGAGGGCGAATGTGTTGCTCCATCAACTCAGGGCTTTAATTGTCATGCTATGACTTTTCACAGACAACAGACTGTATGTGTTGTGATGTATATCATGTAACATTAGTGTTTGCTATTTGCCAAAAAAAGGAACGAGCCATCAATTGCGCTTTAACATGTTTTTAATGGACGTTGAGTTTCCAACACAAGGTAAAGCCTTTCTGTCAAGCTCTCAATCCATTCTGTTTCAAACGCATAGTCATACCAATCATTTTGGAAGTACCGTATTCGACGTAATAAGCGCCCCTCTCTAATAAGCGCCCACGGAGATATTTGCTAATATAATGGCTAGTGAACAATCCCAATCAGCAAGCCCTTCCGACTGATCAATGTACGCAAGACTTATTTATTTGTTCATAATACGCACTTGTGTGTTATATCACCCTTAATTATGGGCAATTCAATTCTTGAAAAATATATCTGTCGTTTGTAAACATTTCAGGCTGTTAGCATAAACCACGAAATTTACGATCTTTCAACTCAAAATAATATTCTAATAAGCGCCCCCTATTTCTAATTTTGAGACGGCCCTGGGCGCTTATTACGTCAAATACGGTAAGGTGTGTTGTTAGCAAATATTATGAAAATGACAACATATACATTTTATCAAGATTATTATCAAAAGGAATTAACGTTTATTCTACAAGAGCAATTCTTACCCGAAGAGATATTCTCCAGTATGTTTTGTGGTAAATGGTTTCTTGAAGTGAAGATTTCGGGTTTGGGTAACCTAGTGGTTAAAGTAGCAGAATGTCATGCCAATGACAAGGGTTCGACTCCCACGTTCAAACCTCACTCACTCACTCACTCACTCACTCACTCACTCACTCACTCACTCACTCACTCACTCACTCACTCACTCACTCACTCACTCACTCACTCACTCACTCACAGGGCTTTCAGTCATCAGGCTTTCAGTCATCAGTTTACCAATCCAGGCCAGGTTGCCGTTTTTGGTTGCTATTCAATTGCTTAGGTATTGTTTGCAGACCAAACTCCATTCAATTACTCACAGTTACCCAGCGCTAGCATCGTTGGTTTTGACCGATATCTTCAGCCAAACGTGTGTAAGGAGAGTTATCAGTATAATATGTCTGGGAGAGTTTTCAATTCTTGTTATTCGTTTCTAATCAGAGAGGAGGATCAGGATTGAGACAGGGTTGGCACATGTCCAGGCAAGGTGCCGGCAAGATAAGCCTGATATTGCCGCCCCAGGAATAGGATCTCGCAGGTTAACATGGCATTAATTTCTCAATGAGAAATCATCACTGTGCCTTATGCTAATGTGCTGAAAGGATTAGATTAGATTGAGCTTGAAGGTACCTGATGCAACATCATGGCAGACGTGTGCATTACAATACATACTTTGAAATACATTCATTGATGCTGACACTATAGTTACTTGTTTTTACTATTGAACACACGCCATGGGGTTTGTAAAACAGAACAGGATTCAAATACAATGTGCAAATTGAAGAAGGCAACAAAATCTTCAGTTCTCATGTTAGTTTGTTAGTACATACATGAGAAGAGCCAGAGCATTACCACAAGTATGTGTGTGTGGGTGGTGGATTGTGTTTGTGTGTGGTGCTGCTGGAATATAAGATAGCCATTGATATTCACCTGTGAGTGGTACTGTCAGAATATAAGATAACCGTTGATATTCACTTATAAGATAACCAATCATATTCACCTGTGAGTGGTACTACCAGAATATAAGATCATCATTGATATTCACCTATAAGATAACCAATCATATTCACCTGTGGGTGGTACTGCCAGAATATAAGATAACCATTGATATTCACCTATAAGATAACCAATCACATTCACCTGTGGGTGGTACTGCCAGAATATAAGATAACCAATCATATTCACCTGTGAGTGGTACTACCAGAATATAAGATAACCATTGATATTCACCTATAAGATAACCAATCATATTCACCTGTGGGTGGTACTGCCAGAATATAAGATAACCGTTGATATTCACTTATAAGATAACCAATCATATTCACCTGTGAGTGGTACTACCAGAATATAAGATCACCATTGATATTCACCTATAAGATAACCAATCATATTCACCTGTGGGTTGTTCTGCCAGAATGTAAGATAACCATTCATATTCATCTGTGAGTGGTACTGTTTGAATATAAAATAACCATTCATATTCACCTATAAGATAACCATTCATATTCACCTGTGTCTGTGTGTGAAACTGCTGGAATATTAGATAAAAATTCATATTCAACCTCTGTTTCTTTGTTGTTTACCACCCTACTCAGCAATATTTCAGCTATATGATGTCAGTCTGTAAACAATTAAGTCTGGACCAGACAATCCAGTGATTGACATCATGCGCATTTATCTACACAATTGTGATACGATGACATACATCAACCAGGTCAGCGAGCCTGACCACCTGATCCCGTTAGTCGCCTCTTAAGACAAGCATCGTCGCCTTTTTTGGGGTTGCTGAAGACCTATTCTAACCCGGATCTTCTCGGGTCGTGTCACTTAGTATTTACGCTTTGAGCATGCCCCTCAGTGATGTAGATTTTGCGCTATACAAAAAGCCTCTCTATTATTATTATTGTTTATTTTTTGACAACATAGACTGAACAAATAAGTAAAGGATCATAAACCAGGTCAGCGAGCCTGACCATCCAATTCCATGTCGCCTTTTACAAGCATAGGTTGTTGAAGACCAATTCAGGATCTTCATGGGTCTATTCAACCTGTGGTACTGCCAGAATATAAGATAACAATTGATATTCACCTGTATTTATTTGTTTTAGATGAGAGACTTGGAGGAGAAGCTGTCAATGAGTGAAGCTCGGGCCGAGACAGCTGAACAACAGGTCAGTCAGATGTATGTGTGATAGATGATAATAATGTGTATAGTTGACGAGGATAATGTGTATAGTTGACGAGGATAATGTGTATAGTTGACGAGGATAATGTGTATAGTTGACGAGGATTATGTCTATAGTTGACGAGGATAATGTCTATAATTGACGAGGATAATGTCTATAGTTGACGAGGATAATGTCTATAGTGGACAAGGGTAATGTGAATAGTGGATAGGGTAATGTGAACAGTGGAGGAGGATAATGTGTATTGTGAATGAGGATAATGTGAATAGTGGATAGGATAATGTGAATAGTGGATAAGGATAATGTGAATGGTGGATAAGGATAATGTGTATAGTGGACAGGATAATGTGAATAGTGGATAAGGATAATGTGAATAGTGGACAGGATAATGTGAATAGTGGACAGGATAATGTGTATAGTGGACAGGATAATGTGTATAGTGGACAGGATAATGTGAATAGTGGACAGGATAATGTGAATAGTGGACAGGATAATGTGTATAGTGGACAAGATAATGTGAATAGTGGACAGGATAATGTGAATAGTGGACAGGATAATGTGAATAGTGGACAGGATAAGGTGAATAGTGGATAAGGATAATGTGAATAGTGGACAGGATAATGTGAATAGTGGATAAGGAAAGTATCCAGTGGACAGAGTGCTATGTGGACAGAGATAGCGTGCTATGTGGACAGAAATAGTGTGCTATGTGGACGGAGATAGTGCGCTATGTGGACAGAGATAGTGTGCTTAAGGGACAGAGTACATCCACGAGGGACACCGGTGCTCCTACTTGTCAAGGTGAGAGAATGGACATCCAGTCATCAAGGTTCATGCAGGTCTCTACGGCCAACTGTTGGCTATATCTAACCCCAGAACATCAAGATCTGACTGTTGTGGTTAGTTTGGTCCATGCTCCACCATGCATTAGTAAATAAATACCAACAATTACCAACACAATTGTAGCCCTACCCCTACAAGCTAAATCCAGTCTTAGTATATCAAGAGCAAATTTGTACATTATCAAATTGGTCCTTATTCTACAATGGTGTAGTGTGAAGTGAAATGGGCTTTTAGATTATGGCACTTATATGTTGACGTGGCCCCACAATGAGTTTGCATTACTAAACCTATACAACTTTAAACCAACCATTGTAAGCCTATCCTCAGTTTCTTTTGAAGCTGATTGTTAATCCATGGTCATTTACAGTTTAACCTCATGGCCTTTAGAGTCCCATGCCTTAGTGTCTTGGTGTATGGTTCTTGCTTGACAGACCAGGAATTATACTCACATATTGCTGCTTTGGGTAGGACTTGGATTCTTGTATTTCAGGCTTACCCTTTCCCTTTTTAACTGAATGTGATCTGTAAGTAGATAGTTTGGCCATCGTGACATTCTATTATTAGTAGATGCTGCCCTGCGGCATAGTGGCAGCCTGGAAGTCGACTCTTATCCCAGAGTAGATCAGGAGAGTTGTGCTAATGACTACTCTTGAAGTGATTTTTTTTTCCTCGTCTTACAAGTGTTTATTCATAGGGCATAAGAATCCCCTAGCTTCAAAAACTGCTCTGTTTTTTTTTTAAAAGTTAGTTTCAAAATAAGTCATTATTACCAACAACTTACACTTAATCTTTGAAAACATTTCTTTAAAATAATTGTAATTTATTTTTTAAAGATCCTTTCCTTTTCTGCTGTTTTCATTGCAAGGAGGATTGGTTCAGTTTGACCTAGACTTGACCGTGCCTTTAGTATTACAAAATTTTAGAAAAAGAACAATTATTCCACAGTCATGGCTTTGGACTAAACAACTGTATCTAGCCAAGACTGTGTTGTGTAATGCTAAACTTGGATGTTAAAGTAATAGGTTTAAGGTGTCCTTGGACTCTAATACCACAGGAGAAGACCCAAGAACCCTGGAACCCCCTGGTTAAAAGCTGCACCCAAAGCCTTTTATTTTTAATTTCGTCCACAGCAATTGGTTAATGGTTTGTTCATAACACTGCAGACTGCTTGTGCTGTCACCTGGCTTGTGTTTGGTACTGTTATTGGAGTCCCTTGCTGAACACTGCTGATGCCAATTAGGTATTACATCAATATGCTGGTCAGGTAGTTTAAGATAAAAAAGTGACATATATACCCACTGTAGAGTGTAAACACAGTTAAAATATTATGCTTTATAATAATGATAATGAAATGAATTATGACTTTATACGTTAAAAATTTAAGACAAAAATAGTTTACTAAATAATATCATTGTGATCGAATCTACACAGAGAGTGTATAATTTCCCATTTTGAACATGGAGAGAAATAAACCTACGATTATGGTTTGGTAAGGAATTAAAATATATGTGTGGACGGTGGGGTAGCTTAGTTGTTAAAGTGTTTGTTCGTCACGTCAAAGTCCCGGGTTCGATTCCCCACATGGGTAATGTGTGAAGCCAATTTCTGGTGTCCCTCGCCATGTTATTGTTGGAATAAGGCTGAAAGCAGCATAAAATCATTGTCACTCACTCACTCACCCCCACTAAAATATATGTATGTGTTCGGCCCCTTTAGTTCCTAATGAGGCCGTGATTCACTGCAGGCGACATTATTGGCTTCTATTGTTTCATGCACCGCGGTATTTGCATGCACATGCTTCAAACTGAAATTGATCTTTGTTTTTCTGGCCGTGAGGATTCCAAATCTTCGGTGAAATGGCGTCGTTGTGTCATTATCTTGTGTTAAATGTATCTAAAAATTGACTTCAATCTGGTGTGCATGTACATGCTTTGCCTTCCATGTTCAAAGTGAAATTGTTTTATCTTTCTCTTGAATGTTTCAATTCCGCTGTGAAAGCCTAAAACGTCCTATCTTAGGCGTTCAATACGTGGAATGAAAATAAAGCTGTACTATTTTTTTCTTTTGAGGATTCTTAATCTTGGTTTTTAAGACTTGTTGGTTCAAGACCAACACTGTTCCCACACAACCAGCACTAGACTTGAAGCATGGTTCATTTACCTATGAATTACAGATTTTGAATGCTTCAAACAGAATCTTGGACAAATAGTAATTTGTCTTTCCAAATATAATGTGAAACGTTTGCTGTTCCAGAAATTTGTACATTTACTAGAATTACCTAGATAATCTGTGAATGAGACGTGAGTTATCAGTATTGATTGCTGTTGTTGCTATTCTGCTCCTCAACTGACAGGTCTGTTTGTACTAGATAACCAGGAAACTCATTGAGAGCAGCTAGTTCCTGATGCCAGCTAGGCAATGCCACACACAAGTCCAACTGGGAGACTATTGTGGACAGAGGCCTACACTGTAATTACCCCTCTCATATATATGAAGGCTAGAAATATACCACAAAGAAATATTCTCGTGCCAATCAGATATCAGATTTCTAAAATGATTTGGTTTCATTTCGTTTCAGTCTTGATTCAGAAATTCTGATCACCCACACAAAACAAAACATTTTCCTTGAGAGCAACTCTTTATGTGTGTAGATGCCATGGTGCTGTGAAACAAAGGATGTATGAAATATCAACAACATATTTAACACAACCGTAATTATTTTCCATTCAGAACTGCCTGTTTATGTTTGTTTTCAGATCCAAAAATCAGACAAGCTGCTCTAAATGCTTTGGCTCCCAATTGTAATAATGAAGTTGTTTGTCCATATATCTTATCCTTATCTAAATGCTTTGTTTGCTCTTCCTGAGAGTTAAGAAGTCACAGTGCTGATGAGCTGATTGGAAAGTTAACCTGACCCAAACTATGGGAGGTTTGTCAGATCTTAACACAAACAAGTATCTAGAGTAAAAGGTTTCACTTTAATGAGAACATGGCCTTAGAGGTATGACTATCATAAATCTGTGTTTAAGTGAAGAGTGAGGACAATAGTCCTATGCCTTATGGATTTGGAATATGGGGCCCTGTGAACCATAAACATATTAGAATATTTCCTTATGCAATGCTCAAAGTTAGGCATGAAGATATAGGGATCCTTGTCATAACCTTGATGTTAAAAGTTAAAAATCAGGCGTCCCCAGATTCAAATACCTAACAAAAAGACTTTAGGCCCCAAGTACCCCTCTTAATTTTGAACACAGCCTATGTTTTTGTGATATGAAAAAGTTTCAAATGTGGATTTGTTGATGTTCACTTCATTAGCATAATTACAGAAGTGGATCCACCCTCATTGACTGCCGGGGCGGTCAGGTAGCCTAGTGGTTAAAGTGTTCACTTGTCACGCCGAAGACCCTGGTTCGATTCCCAACATGGGTACAGTGTGTGAAGCCCATTTCTGGTGTCCCCCGCCGTGATATTGCTGGAATATTGCTAAAAGCGGCGTAAAACCATACTCACTCACTCACTCACTCATTGACTGCCCTGGGTTGGGCTATTGAATGACTTCCTGGCTTCAGTAATTGCTGATGTCCAGTGTGATGCTGGCTGTAGTGTACCAGCAGGAAGACTGTGTCATTATGGATTTTCACATCAGACATCATACAGACTTTTGTAATAGAATTTGAGGTTCTTGTAGACTATTAAGCATGTGACTTTAAAAGATTGTCTTTTGTCAGTTTTCTTTGAAATGATAGACTGTTCAAGGTGGTCCATGGTGAGTTTTATATCACAAAATAGCCTAGATTTGTGACAGTACAAGATCGTCCTTGGTCAGTTTGGTATCATAAAATAGCCTAGTTTTGTGACAGTACAAGATCGTCCTTGGTCAGTTTTATATCACAAAATAGCCTAGTTTTGTGACTGCAAGATCGTCCTTGGTCAGTTTTATATCACAAAATAGCCTAGTTTTGTGACAGTGCAAGATCGTCCTTGGTCAGTTTTATTTCAGAAAATAGCCTAGTTTTGTGACTGCACAAGATCGTCTAATGTCAGTTTAATATCACAAAAAAGACTAGTTTTGAAACTAGCTGTACAAGATCGTCCTTGGTCAGTTTTCTATTAGGTGACTGCAATGTCATTACTATGTT